GCGACTACGGACTGGGGCACAGTACGAGGACGACTCAGTCTGACTTACTTATAGGATTCATAGCCTCCTGCGGCTGCGCATGTATGTACTATATAAGGACGACCCTAGTAGAGGGGAGTTCTTTAACCTATTCATCTCTGACTTACCTCGTCTATCTACTCGTACTTGAACTAGTCCTTTCAACAGGACTAGCTTCCCTTATCGATATCAAGAACCTCTGACTGTGTAGAATCGCCACTACACCAGACCTTTGACCTAGAAGCAAGGCTTCTTAGAACACGGCAGATCGCACCTGTGATAGCTATCACACTTGCACCAGAACGCGCGTCCACTCTTGAATCTCTATTCAAGCCTGGACATTACATTTGAATAGGTTCACCAGCCGTCGACACCTCGACCTTCTCCAGGAAGGTCATTCGCCGTCACCACGGGTGATCACAGAGAAGACGTCCCCGTTGGCGTCTACCTACCACCGCATACTAGTTGGACAACTTACGGAGAAGAAGGTCAAGGAGATTGGACCACAACACAGAGACCACCAGGAACCCGGTTCACAGAAAAGGACCGTTATTGGATCAAACTAGTGAACAAACACTGGTACTACGACGACACTGGTAAACCACCATACAACGGAGTAGAAGTCCCTAACTCCCAGTACAACGACCCACGAGGATTCAACGAACGAATCCCCTGGCACATCCAGAAACCTCAAGGAGCATACTACGACAAAGACCTCAGGCATTGGAAGGTCAGAAGACACATCAACCGAACTCGCGCTGAAACAGAAGATCAGCACCAGCCCATATTTGTCAAGAACAACGTTTGGTACTTTGTCAACGCACCAAACACCCCTGTAGTAGCAGGAACAGAGCCAACAGCCGAAGAAGAGGAACTACCGGCACCAGGACCATCAGGAGACAAGGAGGAAGAAGAACCACAGCCACTTGCTGAAGAAACAGCACCACCACAAGGACCACCACCTCCTCCACCGCCAAGGTCACCGTCACCACCTAGGCCAATCAGCCCAGCAGCATCAGACATGTCTAACAACGACGTCAAGATCAACCCGCCGAAGGAGTTCGACGGAAACAGAGACGACACCTTAGAGTTCCTCACAGACTGTGAGAACTTCATCAATACACTTGGAACCGCCAAGTTCGACACCGACACCAAGAAGATCGCATGGACCCTGTCGTACCTCAAGGGAGGAAGCGCAGGACCATGGAAGATCTCTTTCATCGAAGGACATCCCACGGGATACGGAACATGGACCGAATTCAAGGACAAGTTTAAAGAAGTATTCGGAACCATAGATCATGAAGCCAAGAACCGCCTCGCCCTCATGAACCTCAGACAAGGAAACACTTCAGCAGACGACCACATCGTGAAATTCCGAACGTTGATTGCCAGATCAGGCATCAATGACAACGTTTCACAAACCACCTTGTTCCAGACTAGCCTTAACGACGCGTTAAGAGCCAAGATATACAGCCACGACCCGTTGCCTACCACTATTGAAGAATGGTACAACAAGGCTTCCACACTCGACCATCAATGGCAATTCGCCAATTCCATGAAGAGCGGCAGCAGCTTCAGAAGCTCTAGACCTACCAGAGACACCAAGGTCAGGGCGGTCAACCTTAATTTCGCGGAACGCCAGAAGTACATCAAGGAAGGACGGTGCTTCCGATGCGACAAAATCGGACACCGCGCCAACAACCCTCAGTTCCACCCGCGAAGCGAAGCTAGACCTTTCAACCAGGGTGGACCCCGCCCCAACACGTTCCAAAGGGGCCTGGGACAACAGATCCGCCAGACAACTGCTGCGCACCCACAGGAAGAAGAACCTCCTCAAGAAAGCACGGCTATTCAAGAACTCTTACGTAAGATTCAGAACATGAACACCGAAGATCAGGACACTGTCCTCGAAATGTTCAACGACATGGAAAACCCTCAGGGTTTTTAGGACGCCCGTCTTTTGCGACGCAATTACGGGCGAAGTTACGTTTCCCTCATGATGTATTGATTCGGGCTAGCAGCCTATTTATTCGTGCTAATGCTGCTCAGCAATCTATGCGATTTCCTATTTACATCAATGGAGGAAACAAAGACGTCGAAACCAAGGCCTTGATCGACTCAGGAGCCACCGGATTATTCATTCACTGGAATTTTGTCAAGAAACATCGGATACCGACCAAGACATATGCGAAGCCTCGCGTAATACGGAACGTCGACTCTTCCCTAAACGTGCTAGGGAAAATCACCAACTATGTCGAAACCACGATCACCATTGGAGACCATGAAGAACAGGTCCACTTTTCAGTCACGGACCTAGGAGAAGACGATGTCATTCTCGGACTCCCATGGCTACGGAAGCACAACCCAGAAATCGATTGGGCCAAAGGACGAATGTTCCTTAAACGATGCCCTCTCAAGTGCCAACTACTCATGAAACGGAAGCGACGACAATCCAAGAAACCCGCCAAGGTGATTCGCCCTCACAAAGCGGCTCAGATCAAGGGAGGGATGAGGAGAAGACCAGTTCACATCGAACCTCCCACACTTTTTGCCAAACGAATCAAGGCAAAATTAGAGAACCATCGTGCGAAGATGAAGAAACAAGAACAAGAACGACAACAACAGGAGTACCTTCGATCCTTCGGGATCGAAGAAGGAGACGAACTATGGTATGGATTAGAAACAGAAGAAGAAGAGATTATCAGGCGAGCCTCCAGATCTACGGAGCTCGCGGAAGAAGCCAACAAGGGGAAGAGGGAAAAGACTTTCGAGGAAATCGTACCGGAACCATACCGATCATTCTCTAAAGTCTTCAGTGACGAAGAATCCAAACGATTCCCCACATCCAAACCATGGGATCACCACATTGACCTCAAACCCGACGCCATTCCACGAACTACATGCAAGGTCTATCCCCTAACGCCTCAGGAACAAGAAGCTTTAGACGAGTTTCTCAAGGAACACCTCGAACGCGGAACCATTCGCAAATCCAATTCGCCACTCGCATCACCTTTCTTTTTCGTAAAGAAGAAAGACGGAAAGCTACGACCAGTACAGGATTATCGAAAACTCAATGAAATGACCATCAAGAATCGTTATCCATTACCCCTGGTCACCGAATTACTCGATCGAGTAGCACGAGCTCTATGGTTTTCCAAGATGGACGTACACTACGGATACAACAATCTCCTAATTGCCGATGGAGATCAATGGAAGGCAGCCTTCCTCACCAACCGAGGACTATTCGAACCTATGGTCATGTTCTTCGGTCTCACCAATTCGCCCGCCACATTCCAAACCATGATGGACGACATCTTCCAAGACTTAATCGCCACCGGGAAAGTCGTCATTTACATGGATGATATCCTGGTCGGAACAGAGACCCTGGAAGAACACCGAACCATTGTCACGGAAATCCTCAAACGGTTACAAGACCACGACCTTTTCCTCAAACCGGAGAAATGTACCTTTGAAGCCAAGGAAGTCGAATATCTCGGTATGATCCTAGAACACGGGAAAATCTCTATGGATCCAGTCAAACTCGACGGAGTTCTTAACTGGCCAACCCCGAAGAACCTCACGGATGTTAGAGCCTTCTTGGGCTTTGGCAATTTTTATCGACGGTTCATACACGACTTTTCAGGAAAAGCCAGAGCCCTTAACGACCTTACCAAGAAGGATCATCCATGGCAGTGGACGGACAAGGAACAAGCCTCATTCAACGAACTCAAGAAGGCCTTTACCACTGCGCCGGTTATCATCCAACCAGACCCTCGGAAACCGTTCCGAGTAGAATGTGACGCATCCGGATTCGCTATCGGAGGAATATTATCTCAGGAACACGACGGACATTGGCATCCCTGCGCTTACCTGTCATCATCCATGACAGAAGCTGAAAGGAACTACGATGTACACGACAGAGAACTTTTAGCTATCATGAAGACCTTCGGGACATGGAGACATTATTTAGCCGGCAGTCCGCACAAAATCGATGTGTGGTCGGACCATCGTAATCTAGAATACTTTAGGATGGCCCGAAAGCTCAACCGAAGACAAGCCCGGTGGAGTGCGGAGTTACAGGACTACGACTTTCAGATAACCCACAAGGCCGGCGCGACTCAAGTCAAATCTGACGCATTATCCCGAAGACGAGACCACGACGATGGATCCCACGATAACGAAGACAAGATCCTATTACCAGACGAAGTCTTTGTCAGGACAACAACAACGGAACACGACCTACGAGAACGAATTCGGCAGAGTACTGCCTATGAACCAGAACTAGCAGAATCGTTATCAATGCTCAAGTCTGGCAATGCTACCCTTCACAAGGACTTGACTGATTGGGAAGAAAAGGACGGCTTTTTGTACCACAAGAAGCGCCTTTACATCCCAAACAATCTAGAACTACGACAGGAGGTCGTTCGACTTCACCATGATCTACCCACAACCGGACACCGCGGACAGTTTGCCACCATAATTGCTATAGGACGAGAATTCTGGTGGCCAAGCATGACGCGATTCGTCCGCAACTATGTCAAGGGATGCACTACATGTCAAGCAACCAAGAACCAGACCCATCGAGACCCAATCCCCATCATGCCAATACCAGCCACCTCGACACTTCCATTCCAGACAGTCACCATGGACTTTATCACGGAACTACCCAAATCCGACGGATATGACGCAATCGCAGTCTTCTGTGACCATGACTCAAGCAAAGCCGCAGTCATGGTCCCATGCAACAGCACGATCACAGCCGAACAAACTGCGGACATCTATTTTCAACACGTCTTCCGAAGATTCGGACTTCCCCAGATAGCGATATCTGACCGCGGAACACAGTACAATTCGACATTTCTCAAGGAACTATATCGGAAATTACACATTGACCAACGATTCTCCACGGCGTATCACCCGCAGACAGACGGAGGAACAGAACGAGTCAATCAAGAACTGGAACAATTCCTACGAGCATTTTGCAACTACAGACAGAACAATTGGGCCAAGCATCTCCTATTCGCCGAATTCGCTCATAACTCGGCACAACACTCATCCACCAAGGAATCGCTGTTCTATCTTCTCATGGGATACCAGCCACGCTGGTTCCCAGAAATGAACGAACAGACCACAGTCCCATCCATCAAACATCGCCTTACAGAACCACGGAAGGCCCGCGCAGATGCGGAAAGTTCACATCAGATCGCAGCCGACATCATGAAACAACGAATCGAAGGACAACCACCCCTATTCAAGAAAGGGGACAAGGTTTGGCTGGAAGGGAAGAATATCACGACGACTCATCCTTCTGCCAAACTTAGACCAAAGCGATTCGGACCTTTCCGCATAGACGATGTGCTCGGACCAATCACCTTCAAGCTCAAACTCCCACCGACGTGGAAGATACATCCGGTGTTCCATGCAGGACTCCTCACACCATATGTCCAGACCAAAGAACATGGTCCATCCGCCACGTATCCGCCACCGGATATCATTAACAACGAAGAACAGTTCGAAGTTGATGAAATCCTTGATGCGGAATGGAGATCACCCGGAGGCCGCAGCAAACCAGAACTGCACTATCTGGTACACTACACAGGATATCCTGACTCGGATAACGAGTGGCGGCCACATCACGAATTCCACGAGGACGACCAAGTCGTCCTCGATTTCTATGCGCAGAATCCGCAGGCTCCCTAAAGACACAGCCAACCAAGTACACGTCGACGCACAAGGCCACGTCAGCGTTGAGTATAAGAAGGGGGGTAAATTTGCCCTAAATCGAAAACTCAACGCCTCCTCAGCCTCTTCACATCCTCCAAACTGATATTCAAACCAACTCACCACATGGCAAATGCCCAAGACACGCAACATCCGCCCGAAGCGACTACGGTCAACGTCACCCTCCCTAGAAACAGCCTCGTTCCCTACGTCGAATCTCAGCCCAGCTCACCTACGCTTGCCGAAGAAGACGAAGTTAGTTCAATACCGAGACCTGCGTCCGAAGGATCCTCGGGCACCGATCGCATCTTCTTCAGCGCTCACTTCGGGATCATCGGCACTAACGGCAACGCATCCATCCCCAATCCCAGGATACGTCACAATGGCGAATCCCAGCACGTACTATCCAACATCGATGCCAGAGAAGATGCCATCCTTCGACTCTTACTCAACCTCGTTACCAATCGACCCTACCTTTTTCGCATCATGGGGCCCGAGCTCGAATGGTTACAGCGAAGGGCTGGAGAACTCGGATACCAATTGGACTCGGAACGAAGCTTATCCACTTCACAATCCCCTCCTGAATCAAATGCCGATCCAATCCCAATACCTCCCCCTTCCTCATATGCCAATCCCCATGTTACCATATCCTCTAATCACAACGGATCCTCAGACTCGGAACCTCGCCACGGAATCCACCGCGTCCCAACTCCCATGCCTGGAACTCGATCCAATGAACCTTCTCCCCCGCAATCCATCTCTTCCAATTCCACCCCTGAGTCTAACGCCTCTTCCACCCTTCCGAACCTCCCTGGACTGTTCCACGACTGGCTCACAAACCCAGCCACCCATGCCCAGGCTAGCGCAGCCATCGACGCCTGTGGAAACGAGAGAGTCCAACGTTTTTCTCACAAATACATCGAGGTTACAGAGGCAATTAGAGAACGAAGGAAGGAATTGGGACGATTGGAGATGGAGGAAGCCAGATGCGAACGAAGCTTGGGAGCTCTCGACTGGGATCGACGGAGCATTGCAGGTACCCTTATCGGTTTACGCGCAGAATCTGTCATCTTCCCCCACGTCTTTCCTACAGTCGGACTATCAAATTCTGGAACAGCATTTCGACCAAGCCCACCCGATACCTTCTCCAACCAATCAGCGAACCCTATCACCGAAACTCCTAGCTCCCATCACACGCACTCCTCAGACTCTCACCCCTCCGGAAGAAGTGGCGTCCCTATCCGCATCTTCCAAGCCCCATTTAGCCGAGAACTCACCCCCTCACCACCTGACGGATCTTCCGGTTACGCCTATCCAAGCGGAATGGGAAGCAGCCTTCAAATTCCTCGAAACGGACACCTTCCTGGGCGAAACTCCCCGAATGCGTCCGACTACCATGCAGACCGCTCCCAGACTACATCGATTCAAGCAGTCCGAGGTTCCACGTCGAGACGCCCAGAGTCTTCCATACAGCATCGAGGCAACCATGGGATTAGATGCTGGGAGTGCGGAGATCTCGGGCATACTAGGAGAGATTGTCACAATATGCGCAGAAGGAGAGTAGGACTTCCAAACGGAAGAGAAGGAGACGCCATTCTCAATGGAATGATCGATGACATTCTTCAGAACGCCCACTGACATTTTCTCTCAAGACCCACATCATTTCCGTGTCTCCTTTCCCATAGGATCTAATTATATTCCCTTGACCCACATCCTTTCCGATTCAGTGATTCGATCGCTTACTATTTCTTGAACAGACATTTTATTTATCAAACCAAGTTCCTTTTCCTTATATATATGCGTCCCCAGATTGTTCCCCTTTCCCTCAGTCTCCTACTCCTCTTCACCCTTATCCCAGTCGTCCTCACTTCACCATGCCCGCTCAACGATGCACTTCCTTTCGCTGCAATTGCACTTGGAGAATGTTCCCCCACTCCAAGCCCCGCCACTGCGACCAGGACGCCGCCCGACGAGCCGGACGCCAACCCGACCTCGGATCTCTCACTGTACCACCTGAACATCCCCGCCGCCGTTGCATCGACTGCGGCGAACCCTTTATCACCTCCCATCGCCAAAACTAGCAAATCCGCCTCCGCCATGTACGATCGAGAAGAACACGTCTTTGTAGGAACACACGCGCAGTGGAAGGAGTGGAAGGCGGAGCAGGAGTTATGCACGGTGTGCCACGCAGAGCAGTGGGAGAGTGCGCAGACGGAGATGTGTGGAGGATGTTGGAAGAAGAAGTTGGAGGAGACGAAAAGTATCGAGTGGTTACGACGACAGGCAGAGTGGAGGGAGGATACGGAGGATTTTGGGCGATGGAAGCAGGAGATTTTCTGGTGCATGTCGCAGAGGCGCCCCCTTCTTGACGAGCTCCTATGCCGTATGGAATTCGACGCCCCCATCCTTCACCCCGTCGTCTACCCTAACCCCCACCGCAATGCCTATCTCGCATGGGTCAACGCCGACGACGCCGACGACGCCTATCAACCGCAAGAACACCCACTCCAGCCCCTCGCCTATCTCCACCAACATCCCCTCACCAACAACCGTTCCCCATCTCCACCTACCCTTCCCACTTCCATGGCCCGCGAATTCAATTCTCCATACAAGAGTCTCGAGGCGCGACTGACGTAGAAGGGGGGTAATGTTATGGACTATATTTTTCGTCTTCTATTCTGCTCGACATGTCTGATACCGCAGGAGACGCGGATGTGCAGTCTCAGTTTCTTTTTATTTAACTACATACACATCATCCACTCATATGGCCGGTTGATGAACATTCCATGGACCTGTAGACGTGTCTCGACTCCTTTCGTATTCTCGACTACGGACTACATAGCTTCTCATAGCCTTGGACTGTGCTTCATAGCCTTGCATAGGCTTGTACTATATTTATTAGGTATAGGTTTCCGCCGCGACTACGGACTGGGGCACAGTACGAGGACGACTCAGTCTGACTTACTTATAGGATTCATAGCCTCCTGCGGCTGCGCATGTATGTACTATATAAGGACGACCCTAGTAGAGGGGAGTTCTTTAACCTATTCATCTCTGACTTACCTCGT